TTTTGCTTTTTGGAAATGTCTAATATGTTAAAAAGGTTTTGTTTTTTTTTTTTTTTTTTTTTTTTTTTTTTAAGTAATTACTGCTTCAGGAAATTATTCATGTTTTTATTTTATTTTATATTATTTTTCACAAGTAAATTTTGTAAATGTTGATGGGTTTTTGTATTTGGTATGTAAAGAAATCGTGCTGTTTTTGTCATTTATTCTTTGTGCTGTAATACAGACAGTAAAATGAAAAGATGTTATTCTTATCCTATAATGAAATACTTATGTGACAAATCATTCAAACTTCAAAGATAAAAGTTCATAGTTGATGTAATGTTCCTTGTTGTTAGTGTTTTTTAGTTCAGTGTGTTATGAATGAAATTTATGTTTTCTGAATGAGAATTGTTGCCAGTGTTATGGTGAAACAAGCTTATTTTGAGATATATTAAGTATTTTGTTGGTCTGAGTGAGTTTTGGCAGTGAGGCCAACTGTTTGGCCAAGATTCATGTTGGTAATGCAGGCTGTATGAACAGTTTTGAAAATGTGGCTGCAGTATTGAACAATGCTTGTTAGCAATTGAAAAATAAAACTGTAATAAGATCATATTAAGGTCCCACTCTATATTAGGTGACTTTAAATACCACATACTTTATAATAAAATAATCAATTGTTAGGTATAATGTACCTATTGTGTTCATGTTGTATTGCAAAACACTTTTGCTGCTATTGAGGTGGGATACGGGTAAGGTTAGGGGCAGGTTTGGTGGTATGGTAAGGTTTAAGGGGTAATTACAGATGTAATTACAGGACAGTATTTAGTATTTTCAAATATGTTCAATGTAAAAACATGTATGTACACAATAAATGCATTGTATCAAATGATTTACTTAAATGTAAGTACATAGTAGTTAAGGACACTTAATATAAAGTGGGTCCCATATTCCAAAAATGTTGGAAAAATGTTACTCATTTAAAAGAAATTATAAAAAAAAATTTTTTTTAAAAATTAAGACAGAGAATGGGCAGTGTGTTTTATATTCTTACCTCCCCAGGAGACAAAGATGAAGTGCTGCCATTCTGCTGCAATGCTGATGGCGTCCACTGTGCTGAGATGCTCACTTTCACATTACTAAAAGTCTTTCGTGATGAGTGAAGCAGGACATAGCTGGATAGAGAATGGATGTTGTTAATTACACCAAGTCATTAAATTTAAACTTCAAAACCATATGGCACCAACAGAAATGCAACGCATACATTTCTAACTTGCCACATGTATTTTAAACCACTTTTTCCTTTCTTTTTAAAACATTTTTCTATTTCTTTATCTTGAATAGTCTTATAAGGTGCCTTGCAAAAGTCTTCACACTCCTTCACTTTGTCCCAATTTTTTTACATATTGCAACCTTATGCTAAAATGCTTTAAATTATAAATTTTTTTTACCAAATTTTTTTCCACAAATTATGTGGAAATTAACAAATTAAACCACTCCCCACGCCCCATAATGACAAATTCAAAATGTGTGATAACTTTGCAAATTTAATGAAAATTAAAAAAAACGGAAATAATTACACTGGATAAGTTTTCAAGCCAATTGTGGTCATCTTTGCAATGTTTCTACACTTTAACAGCAAAATGCAAAAATCAAATCCTGAGGTGAAAGGAACTGCCTGCAAATCTCAGAGACAGATATTGCGAAAACTACATATTTTTTATTCTGATGTTGCTAAATTATAGCCAATCACTGCTAGGTTCCTATAACAGCTAGATTAATCATATAACATTTCAAGAAATCAGAATACAGCTGGTTAAGTGACACGCAGAACTTTGTGCTACATGTCATCTAAGATGGCCAACAAGACAAAGTTCAATATTCTTATTATGTACAATAAAACATTGGCTGAAACATGTCAGTAAATCATGAAAGTAAAGCACGTCACTGTTTTTTTTTTTTCCCCCAACACCCAAGGACCCACAAAAATCACTCTTGACCATCACAGGGGTCACAATAATAAAGAAAAGCTAGATATGCTCAGTAACATAATAATGCCCAGAAACTGATTACCATGGTAAGAACGGAGGGCGGTAGGAATAGGACAGCATACCTGAGGAACGTGAGGAGAAAGGCTAGCAGGTGATGATAGGTATAGAGGGGCCACATTATATGGGTCTGGATCAAGAGGGGGAGGAAGTGGAGAATCTGGAGTCTTCAGGACACTCTACTGCACCATCTACAAACACTATACATTCAATCACTGTAAAATCTATCCATCGATAAATGAATCAGCGTTCTTACTGTGGCACTTTAATACTCGTCTGCAGATGAATATACATATTTACAGTCTTCCACAGATACGCTAATATCTAATCAATACTCACCGGTTAAATCATTTGCTGTGATTCGATCTCTGACTGGAAAATATCGTCATTATTTTAGGATGCTGGATGCAACGTAAACACACGCTAAAGCATAAACACGGACGTCTTCTTCTTCTGATGTTTATTGGCGGTTTTGGCAAACCAACTTAAAAAGGTGCATTACCGCCACCTACTGATCTGGAGTGTGGCGTGAACAGATTTGGTAGAGAGAAGGATATTCTTTAAAAAAAAA